TCCGAAGGACCCAAGTTGAGAGCAAATTTTGGAGCAAACAAAGAACATTGTCTCAAGATTCCAACATCCCAGCCGGTCCCAGCCCTCACAAAACGCGACGGACCAACTCCAGCAGCGGCTTTTCTGGTATTAACTTTTGCACGATCTTGCTAAATGCCTGTGACAGTGCGGAGAGCACAGCTGGCTACCAGGTTCACAAGCAATCAGCTCAAAAACTGCGAGTAGCATTCTAGGACACACTAGCATTTTGCCCAAGACAATCTGATTTCCGACATGCTCGGTCAGAGACATACCTGCGACCCTGTTTTGTAGCACACGAGCCACCCCAAACATCGAACGCTGCGCGTCTCTCGTTCTGGTGAAGGCCATTCCCCCCGGTGATGGCGCCATCGCCGGTGCCTCGAAGATCGAGTGATCGTAAATGCTCGTGCAATGGAAATGGATGGTGCACTCCTGCACCTGAGAAGCGTCACTTCCTGTGGTCACTTCCTGGGTTTCATGTAGAGAGTCAGATTTTGAAGGGCTGTGACCAAGAGAATGCACGCCTTGTCTGCAAGTTCCTCTGTGAGCTTGTCATGAATGATCGTTTGGCATTCCATCTTGCCTCAGTCGTTCCAAATTCGGCCCCGCACACCGGGACGGCACCATACGTTGAGGGATGGGACAACGTTACAAACACGTTTCAACAAATCGGTTGACATAGCATGTAATGGATGACACCTCCACGTTGAAACCAAAACACCCATCTCAGTGCCGCCAAACTCGACAACAGGCCACTGGAAGCTTTGCCAATTTGGAGAGGCAGTTAGCTTTCAACATCGGCAATTCTTCAGGAACACATGGGCAACCTACAAACCTGATGAAACCGTCTATGCTTCGGGTGAAAATAGGATTGAAAAGGACTGACCGGGGGTACCAGGGTCTTTTCTCGGAATCGAGACATCCGTTCGAGTGCCAGTCATCTTCCAAGAGACGCTCCTACGAGTGGAACTTGGCACCGTCCACCTGGCCCCGTCATGAGTGGCAGTCTCTGCGAAGTAGAGCCAGGTCATAAAGAACTCATAACAATTCATAAGAACTCACGGGGTGAGCTTTTGGATTGGGCACGGGGGCTCTTGCACCAACGCTCTTAGCCACTGAAAGAACCATTGAGAGCTCACCCCACCCATTACAAGCACAAGCAATTGATATGACTGATTCTTTCAGCCTGTCGCAGCCTATGTGGATTTGATAGGTGGAAGGCCCCCCTGAAACAGCCATGCCTTCTCATACCTGGCCCTATACCCACCCATCAACAGAACACACCCCAAAAAAGTCCATGTGCCGTGCCGGGCCGTGGGCCGCCGTGGGCCGCCGTCGGCCTTGTGGATCAGCACGTCGAAGGTGAGCTTCGAATTCCTCTTCAATGCAAACCTGGAGGAACGGCGACGAACGGTTCCCACCGGTCAGCTGTGTCGTCTGAGCTCATTATGCCAGGTGTGCTGAACGCCTGTTCTGCCGACGTTTTTGCCAGCTGACTTGATGGGCAATGGAATGTCACTTCAGTCGGTCACGTCTTCAAATGGTTTGCCTTGGGTTGGGCAGGCTGAGGCTCAAGGCTCAATGACCTTCTTAGCCCGAGAGACACTTGTGGCATAGGACTCATCTTGCGCCTTGGTGCCACAGCGGTCAAGGACAAGGGTCATTGCCACCTAAGCTATTTCAGCCATGTCAAGGGCCTTGACGAAATCAAAAAGATCAGCTATGTCAGAACCATGACTTGAACTTTGGAAGATGAGTTCTGCCACCACGAATGGGTCTAGAGAATAAGGCTATTTCACACTCAAGGGGACACGTCACTGATGGGTTTTTGGTCCAGCACCATCGTTGACTAAGGCAGGCATGCCTCTCTGTTTTTAGACACATTCATGGCTCTTCAGAAAGCGGCGTGAACCTGCAACTATGCAAGAAGCAAACTCACAGATCTCAATCTCACGTTTTCCTTTTTTGACTATGGTAGCCATTGGCTACTACTCGCAGTGTTGCTATTACCTAACCAGCCACCCAAATCGATGCCTTCAGGTGTGCTGACGATGCATTACAGTATACGGTATATTGGTTTTGAGTTGAATCTCAAAGTCTGACTTGCACTGATTACGCCAGGGGCTGTGCTATCCCATGTTGCCCCACTTCCCTCCAAACCCAGCAACCTCCCTGACATCCAACATTGAGCTGCAAAATGGTGCTCTAAACTTCAACCATCCCTACTTTCAGCCCACTCTCCACCTCTTCTTGAGACACTGGCATCAATGACAAGCACGACAACACAGTCTCCACCTGGCTTCAGGGTTCAGAGTCAATGAAGTCGCACCCCATGAAGGGCACACAGTGGTGGTGCCGGACTCGTGTCTTTGACCAAGAAACAGACTTATGCGCTTTTTGAAAACTCAAACATGCTTTCAGTTCTGACTCCCGATGCTCTATGGTCTTTGACTCACAAGCAAAGAAAACAGCCGCCAAGGAGCCGCCAAAGACAGTGGCGTCATTCTGATGCAAGCTCAGATTCTCGTCGCAAAGGATGGCCCCAGGAAAATCCACCAGCTGGCGCATGGTTCGAAGATCAATCAGTGGGACATTGGACCGTAAAGAATGTGATTCTCTGTCTGTGAAATGCTAGAAGTTGAGTCATCCTGTCTGGCATTGGTGTCGAGCATCATACTGGGCTGCCTGTACTTCATACAAGCTTGATAAAATCTTTCCTCTGGTGGTTGGACGCCAAATGACAAATGCAAGCACACTCATGAAACTCCAAAAACTGACATTCGCGATTTGCCTCTTGTCCCGAAGAATGGGAAAGGACACAAAGTATTTGCTGTCTTTTGACCAGAAAATCCAGAACACACGTTTCGCTTACTACATTGAACACACACAAAAACATGCTGCTGGCATCCCCTGAGGTCTGGCACCCTTAGCCGGAGGAGGTGGTTGTGGCAAACTGAGAAAGTCTCCATCCTCAGCAATTTTCAACTGCAAACCGCTGTTCAATGAAGTGGCCGTCTGTTCAATGTCTCGGCTAAGATGAATCATGCGCACACGTGACCAATCTGCAAGTGGGACGCGTGGGACGTGTGCTGAGGTCATCTCAGAAAATGTCGGTGTTGCGCAGCTGCTTTGTGCTCCAATGTATCCACATGGGCAAACCGTTCGACGAACTGAGAACTAGATAACTAGATGTATCCACCAGTGCGTGCCGCTGATCAGACTCTGAGTGCCGCACTTTGTAAGCCCACCTTCGAGGAACATGGACTCATGGGGAGATAGCTTCTGGAACCTCAGCAGCTTTTTTGCACAAACTGAAGCAACATAAGAAAAGGCTGGTTTAAGGTAGCAACATGATGCACCCCGGTTTAAGGCAAAGCAAAGCCACTGTAAAGGAAATCTCATTGTTTGCATGTCCTTCTACATCAGGCACGACATGTCTTAGGGAATGTCTGAATTCAAACATCTGTCTGACACAATCGCTGAGTGCCCAGCACTACCTTACTAATGGACCTGGGAAGGATTTGAGACTGTTGCGCAGGTGACATTAACAGCTCTACCAGAGCCAGGGATTCATAAGAGGAAGAAATGATCATTCGTTCCTTTTGAACCAGCCATGTATGAATCTTGCTCAAATCTGTTTGCCACATTCACATCAAACATTCTTGGTCATCTTGACGCCGACTCTTCTCAAATATGTCTGCTTCAGCCCTTTCTCTCACAACCCCCCTCTTGAAGTTAAACAAAGAATAACAAAGAATGGGATAAAGCAGCATAACAACCACTTTTCAGCGACAATATCAGCACCTAGCTTTGTACCAAATCAAAAAAGATCAATCTTTGCTTTGCCACAACAGTCAGCTTGTGGGCCCAAGGTTTGCTGGAGCCTTCGCAAGCATTCATCAAAGCTTAGGCCAGGACGTTTTGCCACATCGCGGCAGTCCGCACATCACAACCTGTGCAAGGCGTTTCGGGCTCCGCTAGATGTGAGGAAAATGTGGGTTTTGTTGTGGGACAACTGCCCAGGTGCTGCACTGCTGCACCTTTTCCTTCAAAGGTTGGGAGGTTGCACATCCCATATCCCAAAAGCAGGAGAAGGTGTTTCTCTGAAGCAGGAGAACGGCAACTCCAGCCGTTTTGATTAGAGAAAGTAAGGCGTGTCGGGTAGAGATTAACAATCAAGCCCAAATTGGTTGGCAGACTTGTTTGGAACTATCGTAACTAAATGATGCGAGCTGGCGACACATTTCTGCACAATTCCACCAACCATAGAAGTAGGCCCTGAAGAGACTCTTCAATGAAGTGGTCTTCCCAACGGCCACAGCACAACAGGTTTGCGACAGCTCTTAATATTCTCAATCAAAGGCGGTGCAAGCCTTCGGGATATCCTCCATGACACCTGAGACCAGCTGAGAAAGGTGGCCGCTCTGATGCTTTTCTCTCTCGTTGTGAGAATCTCGGCAGCAAAGCTCTTGACATGGCAAATTCAAGAATCCCAGGATTCTTTGAACATCGTCTCCAAACTCCAGTTGCTTTGCTCCGTTCGGTCACTAAACATCACTAAACAACTTAACGTGATTTTCGAGTGGTCACACACATCTTGAACGAGCCTTGGCTGTCGCGCACACGCCACCGACGGGCGTAGCGCTGATGAGCCGAAAGCATCGAAAAGGCATCGGGGCCCAAGCTCCAAAAGCATGCTTCGAAGTTCAATCGGTAGCTCGGACCTATCAAATCTGTCTGGATTTGTTGGATGATGTTGAATGAGTGTGTCTCCTATGGAAGCTTTTTGCAAGTTGAGGAAAGGCCTTTGGAAAAACCGTTCTTGACTCAATCAGAGCACCTCCTGTTTTACAGAAACCTGATTTACATATGTGCATATAGAGAATGGCTACATGTGCAGTGTCCTCAGTTCAACGTTGCGAATCCAAGACAGCTTTAAGCTGCACAGGTCTACCCGGCCCCCTTCAACCCCGTCCGACCTGTCCTTCACAAAGCTTTGCATAAGCTTCTAGCCATTGAGGCAAAGTATGTTCCACACCCTGCTGAGCCTCAGGTCGATGGAAGCGGTCCCGGTATTCTTCACACTCTGGTTGTTAAGAACTTGTTCTTGCTTCTTAGCCGAGAAAGCATTGAACTCGACATCTGCATCACGGTATCTAAACAACACAAAGAATACGATTGCCATGCAAGAGGATCGAGCATTAGCATGCAAACAAGAGCGCATCGAGGTCCCTTCTAAAAAGCGGAGCAACAACTGATGCCTCAGTATGCTGGCTGGTCATGACAGCCGTCACACCTCGGGCTGGGGACAACATTTCGACTTATCTTACTAGCTCACACACGTGGAAGTCTGCATACTCAGTAGTCAGTAGTCAACACAAACACAAGCATCTTGGAACCTGAAACACCTGAATCCAAAAACACAAGCATCGTACAGTGTGTGCTGTAGCAATGGTGGCAGCTCAAGCTCCTTTGTCCCCTCAAAGAGGCATGTCAACAGGTTGCCTTCAGCTTTGGTGTGACAGGCAGTTTGATCCCTTTTTGGATGCCACACTTTGCAAATGTGCTCGGACCTCGACTCGCAAACAAACTGGCGACTCATGCACCACAATCCACCACAATGAGCAGAAGGTCATTTAGGAGAGAAGTAAGTAGTTGTAGTTGGACAATAAAATTTAGATTCAATTAGATTCAGCTAGGGGCAACGTCTGATTATACACTGGTTTGCTGCCAACTCCATCGTGAGAGCTTCTTGCCCCAATGATACGTGATGCAGTAATAGACCTTCGTATACTCAATTATACTCGCGTCTTGGTCTTTACCCTCTTAGATGGTGAACTAACTCCACTTTGCAAACACGTGAAGCCAGCATCTTCCGACTTCTAGGCTCTCCAAGCACACGTCCGCCGTAGAGCGGGTGTCACCTGATAGCAGTTTTCGCGTCTGTGAATTCGCTCGACTTTGGTTGCGACAGACCTACAGTAACAGTAACTAACCTTGTTGGGTTCGTGTGAGCAGTGATCTTGACACTTGGATGTCTTGGACTCAACAACTCAGGGTTTGACGATTTCAATGATGCGGTGTAGTGTCCTTCGAAGGCCCCATTTGATGGGTGAATCCATAGTTTGACAAGTACACAGGCAGAAACTGGCCTCGGAAGATACAAGCTGCAGCAAGGGAGCCTGTCAAGAAACATTTGTGGAGTCACTCTCGGTGTACAATCCCGTTTCAGATGCTGAGCACAGTTTAATTTGACCAAACTGGGTTGGTGCTTGCCCCAAACGGACACAGAATCTGCATGCAATTCGTTCAATGAAAGTATGAACATCAATGTTATGCACCATTGTATATACACTCACCACCAATGACAACACGGAAAACACAGTTCGGGCCCAAAAGTTGTTCATTCACTCATACTATCCTGCTATCGTAAGAAGATCTTCAACCAGCCAAGGCAACGGACCAATGCCTGTAGCTGACCAAGCGACTTCAGGACCTAGAATCCACATCAGCCGAACTCCCGATGACAGTCAGTTACGAGAGTCACAAACACCAGCGCAAAACCAAAGAAACGTACTGGAAGCTCCCACCGAAAAATGCACTCCCTTTTCTGCTTGTCCACTGAAGGCAATTTGCCTATAATATATATATATAATATATACTATAAGGACCTCTGAGGAGAATTAAGTGTTATAAGCCTAAAGTAATCACATCGAGCTAACATTTCTCCATGCCTCCTCTCCCGAAATGCAACTTGGCACTCCGAGCATCTAAGTTGCCTTCTTCAAGAAGGGCTATTATACCTCGCTCTGAATCGAAAGGTCCACAAGCCAATTGTCCCCAGGTGAACAGGAATCACACCTACCAAATACAGTATCTCAAGGCGAACAGTCAACTTAGTCAACTTCAACACAATTGTTCACAGGGCATTGTCAGAGAGGTGCACTTGGGAATAAACGCACCAGCCAAACGAACCCAGCTGTTAGTTAGCATGGTAAGCTTGTCTTTCAATTCAAGAGATGAACACAAAACATGACAAAAACAACACTTGGAAGGTTGCTTGCGCTCGTTAGAAGACCTTGAGCGCATGGCATTCCACACAGGTGTTCGCCTGCATTGACAGAAAGCAGGCGAACGCGCCAGCGCCCTTTCGCCCTATGGCACATGTGCACAACATGAGTTTGTTTACCGTTGATGCTTTTACCGCAACATGAATATTCACCATCATGGCAAGACAGCACCAACGATGGTGACCACGGACGACCACGGAACGGATTCAGCGTGTTGCTTTCGCACCTCAGCATCGCCCGACTTCAGCGACAAACCCTGGGAAAGACGCAGATCCAAGTCCTCAGCCAAGGGGCCAAGGTGGGCCGGAGAAATGCATGCTTCCTTTTTGGAAAATCCTAAGGACTCAAGATTCAGTCATATTGTCATCTTTATATACTGTAATCATTATTAAGGTTGCTGTTGCTCTCTGCTTTGGACTACAATGTCGCTTCCCGGCCACAACCACAGCAGGAGAAGCAAGCTCCGGGCTGGCCAAGCACCAGCAGATCTCACATTGGCAATGCAAATGAGCAAAAGACCTGCGCAGCTACGCTCAGAGACAACAACCATCAAACAGGGAAGTGCAACAGGGTGGAATACACTGATATTGTGCTAATCATTTTCCCGTACAAGTATTTTGGGAGAGCCACTGCCTTGGGGGGCAATTGAGCAAAGCATAGCAAAGCAATATACCTTTTTGTCAAAGTCGGACATCATGGTGATTGCTGTACCCATCTGAAACATCCGAAAGCACAATTGCAAATTGATGTGGTTAACGGCAGCTAACCCCACAAACACCTTCAAACGTTGTAGCGCTTTCGGCCCTCAGAATGCACCTTCTATGCTAGCTTGGCCAAGACCACGCAGCAGTGCCTAGGTGCAAATTTCAAGCTTGACTTGGACACTCTGCATCTGGACATTAAGAACTAAACACTTCCAAATGAGTGGCAGGGTGAGATTGCTTGGCGCCAACTTTGTTCAAGTCTTCAAAACACAAGACGTACAGTAAAACATCATGTCCATTGTTTAGGTCTTTCTGTGTGGGTTCCTTTCTTCAAGGGAACATGATACACAAATATACACCTGAAAAACACACACGACACACGCAGAGTGGGGGACTCGGCTGGCCTCGCGACACGCAGATTGGTCGGCCGCTGCCAGCTGAGACCAGTTCTTCTGCGTGATTTGACGCCTGAGATCGGGGGAGGAATGGAAGAAAACCATGGGAAATTGCCAGGTGCTCATGGGAAACTTTCAGGGCCTGAACAGCCTAAGGTGACCGTGCCAAGCTGTGGCCCTCATCCCTCCACATCTGACGAACTTGAAGCGCAGGGTTGCAACCATTGAGGGCCCATTGCATGCGGTGCATCTGGCATACTGAGGACGACACACTATTGTCATGGCCAGCTGTCTCAAAGGGAGTGCCTCCTGCCGCGTCACCAGCACTGACAAGTAACACATCCCTTTATATAATCATAGTTTATATCTGCTCTCCCTAGGCCCAGCCTAGTTTTCCTCTATGGGTGTGAGCACTAGGGGCAAGTCCATACTGGATATCCAACACCACTCAGAGTTCCTTGTCCTTGGAACAGCTTTTTCACAGCCAGTTTTGGGTCCTTCCACGCAGAAAACACATCACCTGGTCATCCAGGCACGACGCTATCAGTCATCAGCATTTGAGCAACACGACCCCTGTCGGATGGTTCTCTATTTTCAGGGCTGGATGGGGAGTCCAATCCTGGCTGCTCGGCCCACACGCACCAAAGGCGCTACACCTGCCAGCTGTTGTCGAAAAGAATTGTGTATAATTCATAATAAAGTATATGTATATATTATAAGAGAGAGAGAGAGAGATCTTGTATGATTTTGTCAGAGTCCCCTCCCTGAGCCACCTCGACATGTCCAGGAGCCTAAATGGAAGAGTATTAGACCTAGCTCTGTATATATATATATGACACTCCACCATCTAAAACCCCCTCTACCTTTTCGCTCGATCACATCTAGCCTCATCTACATTTGTGTGCAACTGGCAAGCATGACTCCATCAGCTAGTACATGTGTGCCTATGTCTACGAGAAGGTGTTTAGGTTCGCTGCGTTATCGTTGCAGTTGCCGCTTTGTTATATATGTATATAAATCGATAAGGCAGCACAACACTCCTCGTGGTCTTTGTGGGAGAGACAAACCCGAGATGAGACGCATGTGAAGGGTTATCGCTTCGACCCTTATCGTTTTGCAGTGGGTAGGGCATCCTTGTGGCAAATTGGACATGCACAAATGACATTCTTGGGTGGGGGGTTGCATAGTCTCTCACGAAGCATCGGAAAGATGTGATAAAAGGTGGGACTGATTCTAGTAGTAACAAGTGCCTTACTAGTAGTAACAGGTGCCTTACTAGTAGTAACAAGAAGCTACTTAATTTAACTTAAATATAATTCTAATAGCTTTTTTGTTACTACTAGTAAGGCACTTGTTACTACTAGCGTGGCACTTGTTACTAGTAACAGATCTGATTCTACCCTTTCGAACTTGCACTGCTCTTGCTAGCCACATCAACAGCTTCAGGGCCCACGAAGCATGCCTTGCTGCAAAACCTGCAGAGCATTTGGCACCTGCAAGCTAGGAGCAAGAAGCTACTAGTAACAAGTGCATCGCTACTAGTAACAGGTGCCTTACTAGTAGTAACAAAGATACTGTACTGCACAGTAGGCCACGGGGGCCATGATTGAATCTGAAGCCACAGAAGCAGCAAACGACAGTCCAAACGCCCTCAACAAACATCGATCTTGTTATCACTACATACATATGAACAAATGATGACAACTCATTGGTTGAGGGGAACCCCAGATCTTGGGACATACCCTTTGATGGTCTCTGCCTTGGCCTGTGCCTGTTCTTTAGAGTTGACTTTATTGAGCAACTTAACCGACTCAAAATACATCTGGTACTGATAAAACAACGAAATCCCTGCATTCTTGCTTTGTGTCTGCCTGTCTGTCTTTCTTTCGTTCGTTCTTTCTTTGTTGTTGTTTCTCTCTCTCTCTCTCTCTCGTTCTCGCCTTCCAAGGCTTGCTCTGCCTGTTGGCGTTCAGACCTCTGTCCAAGGACAATGATGTCTCAAAGATTAAAGGTCTCTAGTAGTAACAAGTGCATCGCTACTAGTAACAACTGGCATTACTACTAGTAGTAATGCACTTGTTACTATTAGCGTCCTTGCTACTAGTAGCGATGCACCTTGTTACTAGCAGCTTCTTGATGCTGTAAATCTAGTAATGCCCTTAGCCAAAAAAACAAAGAACAACGAGTTTGTCGACGATTGAGGGCCAAAGATCAATGACCGCCGCAGTGACGTAGTGACGTCTCATATCTCAAGGCCCTTATTTTGTGGAATCTCGCAGAATTGTTTGCCCTCTAAGGCCAACAGGCCAATAGATCCTTTCGGCCAGGTCGGTGAACCCGAAAGGACCCCCGCCACAAGTGCTGTTCCCTCCCTTTATGCTGGGCATTGCAATGAATGTGCAAATAGGATGCAAAAAGAGATGGAAACAAAGTGTCAAAACGTGGCTATAGTTTCTCACTGCTGCCAGGCCTTTCTGCCGAGTTCAATGAAAGTAGCAATCGGCAAAGCCTAAGCGTGGATGGGAGAAGAAGAGGAATACACTGAATACACACCAATTTTTCAGCCGGCAAGCGATTGCTCTGATAAATGACATTCATTGTGTAACTGTGTTTAACTTGCACTGGGCGACTGCTTTTCGGCATTCAGCAAGCGTTGTTGCCTCTCTACTCATTGCCAAGCTGCAAGTATTGTTTGTTTGTGCGATGATGTTTGGTAAGGTGGAACCCTACAACTTAAGGACACACGCTTCAATTTGGAGTGTGGATCCTCCAATTTCTGTTGATTCGCCCACCTCCTGGAGTTACAAAGGGAGTGCTCCTGGGTGTTCAAGGTCACACCGCGAGGTCAGGGGCGCCATTTGCTGACTACCACCACACAGTCACGCACCGACCACTGCTGCTCCAAGCGAAAACTCCATTAAGGCGTCAGCTCTTGATCATGCCATTCAGCCATTGGAGTGCTTCACTGCTGCACACACGACGCGGCGGCAAGTTGCCCACGCTCAATATTATTGGATCGGATGATTCGTGTGTCATTCAAAGCGCTTTGCCTTCGAGAGCCTCCAACAAGGTGAGGCAGGACATCCGAAGTGAAACTCTTGGGCTGAGGACATCCAAAGCTAACAGTCATTAACACAAAAGTGTCTTGGAAAGCGCTGGGTGGGGTGGGAATCAGAAAGAAGGCACTCGACTCGACATTCGAAAGCACTTTTCAGGTCATTCCAAATGAGGCTTGGCAGTTGGCTTCAAGTCCCTTAGACTTGAGCCGAAACGATAGGGAGGTCCACCAAACGCATTAGAACATCCAACAAACACAAAAGCCTTGGTAGGGTATGTTAGGCACTTGCAGATCAAGAATTGTGAGGGCTTGGAGGCCTGGAGGCCATTGCTATTAGGTTGCAGGCCATCGCTATTAGATGCCATTAGGTTGGAGGCCATTGCTATTATATGTTGGAGTATTGTCTTCTTTTACTGATGCTACTCCTGAGCTCTCAGCACTTTTCAAAGGCGTCCAACTCTTGACTTGAGTCCAAACATGCCAGCTCACCTGACTCAGCAGGTAGCCGGCCAAGCAAACGGGCCACACTGGCGAGACTAACAGCACAAAGGCTTGTAGTCCCGCCGTGGGCAAAGCTGGCATTTGTTTCACCTTGTCTCAAGCTGCTCTCTCGTTCTCACGGATGAAGGGTCCCGGTGTTGGTGAGCTTGTTGATCGGTAGAGACAAAGCCACATGGCCATTGGCATCGGGCTCGGGGAAGCGACCTGCCCGAATATTCACCTGGACCGAAGGCACAATCAGCTTGGGGATGGCCAGCATGGCATCGCGGCTGTCGCGCATCGAACAGAAGTCGTCTTCGGACGTTCCTGTTCGTCACATGGCAAAAGGTGAAGAAACGCAGAGTTGGCATGCAAACAGATGTAAACCATGTAGGAACATGCTGTCCTATCCTTTTTCTGAGGCACATCAGCACGGAACCGTGCTGAAAAAACTTCTAGCTGAAAGAATTCGAAACACCTGACCCATGGGTACCCATGGCAGGCAGTTGTGCTGAGAGTCCGCCACCGATGTGGATGTTGTTGCGTCTCTCCTCCCCAATGGTTGTCTCCCAAGCGAATTCGCTCCGGCCATCCTTTGGGAGATAGTCGTGGCCCACAAAGACTCGGGTCTCATCTGGAAGTGACATGATCCTAGATGGTCTCAGCAGGGAACCAAAAAGCAAGTTGTTTTCTTTCTTTTTTAGCCCGTGGCCCTGCCTTCTTACTTACTTAAGTAGGCGCATACTTCATTAAGGAATATATAAGCTAGCCAGTTAGCCTTCTATGCGGCCTTATAACATGTAACACAAACAAACATGCAAATACCCGATTCCTCTGGATGGATTGGTACAGCATTTTCGACGACCCTCCCGGGAAGTCACACCGTGCAGTGCCGTAGTCAGGCATGAACAAGGTGTCGCCAGTGAAGAGTGCATCACCAATCAAATAGCCTTAGTATGAAGTTGACAAAAACAAACCAAGGCACCATCAATCTGCTAAGAAGCTCTTGCAATCTGCAAAGGAGCTGTCCAAAGCGGTTGATACAGGAAAGTGTCCGAATGCAAAGGGGAAGGTTGATTGTGAAAACACATCGTGAGGCCATGCGTGAAACTACAAAAAACATCAAGAAACATCCAACACGCTGAAACGAGTCTTCAAGTGTCCTAACATGCAGTGAGGAAGACATCAGAAAAGGTATATATCCTCAATGCAAATTGGAGAAACACACACATGCCGGAGTATGTCCAGGTGTGTAAATGACACTCGCACGCATGGCACCAAGCTGGAAGGTTTCTCCATCAGCAAAAAGCTTGTCGAATTGAGAGCCATCCTTCTGAAAGCCTGGGCCCAAGTTGAAGACCCCTGCAAAGACTTCCTGAACGAGCTTGATATTTTCGCCAATGGCAATCTTGCCACCAAGCTTTCCCTGGATGTACGGGGCACCGGACAGGTGATCAGCATGGGCGTGAGTCTCCAAAATCCATTCCACTTCAAAGTTATTTTGCTGAATGAAATCCTGAGCAACGAGATCAACTCATGAGGTCAAAACCACTTGGACAAGTTGATGGATAGACGGATAACACAATTTGTACAAACAATATTTAGATAGATCGGTAGATCGTTTATGATAATGATAAATACATAGAAGGGACAAACAAAAACTTGGGATAACTCGCAGCCCACAACCATCTTCAATTTTGGTGTCATTATTACAGTTTCTCAAGCTCTGACTCTGTGTTCAAATGACTATGCCACAAAAAGTTATACATCAAAGGCAAACTAGAAGCAAACTCGGGTAACTCAGGAAAACTTCTAGGCTGGCAAGGCGAAGAGTCAATCACCTGGTCAGCATGCTGAGTGCTGGTGTTTCCGGATGGAAAGTCAAAGCCCATCACCGAGTCAACCACTGCTACCTCAGCTTCAGTCCAAAGGCAACTGTGAGACTTTTCTACTTCACGGGGCTGGTGAAACACGCGGCATTGCAAGGCTTGCGTGAAAACACCCAGCTTGCTCGAGCTGTGCAGCTTAGTTTGGTCCGCCTCACATTGGCAATGCTAACTGCCTTTCAAAAGCCCTTCTAGCACATGTTTGGACAGCTTTGTGCGATAACCACCCCCAATTGGTTTGGTCCACCTCTCTTGGGATCACTTTTTTGCAATACCAGCTGCCTTTCTTCCCTCATCTCGCTGCCAATTATCTTTCGAACCACCTGTTGCTCCTGTTGGATCATTCCTTTGGCCATTTGCTCATTCAATGAAACTAATCGGGTCGAACATTGTCCAAATTGGTGAATATGTAATAATATGTGCAGCAATTGCCTCTTGGCCTAGCCACACATCTCCCAAAATCACCCGGAATCCCACAACTACTCTCAGAAAACCCTTTATATATAAAGATACATATCTATTTATGCAATTCTGTATTGTTTAAACCCGACCCCAATACTTGTTCAAGCTCCCAAACGGGGTCCCCCACCATGCATCGATTCACAACTCCCCCCAATTAGTTTGGTCTCCTGATGACGAGATTTAGTCTTGGGAGACCTACCCCTCAAATAAGAAACCTATAAACACCTTCCAAACGGGCTATTAATCAGACCCTTTACATTATTTTGCATCTGCCACATTGTGGCTTGATTGGAGTAGAAAAGCACCAAAGGATCTAAACCGGCACATAGCTGAGCTACTTTGTAGCTGCCGGGATCTCTCACGACGGAGCATACGGTGTGCGTTTCCGGCTCGTAGAAGACGGTCACCTCTGGCTTGTGGATGTGACACATCTCCGCCGCCTCCTTGACACACATGTCCTCAGTCGGCAAAGGGTGCGCGAGGTGATGGCTTTTGGCGCAGTGAAAATCGTTCGTCGAAGTGTAAGGATCCGTTGTCAGATTTGGTCGAGCTGGAACAAAAGATGCGAACAACATGTGGAGGATCACAGCATACGACGTGTACAGTGACATTGTGAAGGCACCGACAGAATCCCCGACATAGATGACTACATTGCATGAATGTTACATGAATGTTAGACGGTGTGGATCGGTGTGGAGTGGTGGGTGTTCAAGGCTTCAAGAATCTTCGATGATTTAAGACTTGGTCCGCAATATATGCATATGGGTCCTATACTTGGATTGTGTTCTCAGGGTCACTCATTCGTCTCACTAAGGATCACTAAGGTATGTTTCACCACACCGAATTGGCTCAAGGTTCAGGAAAAGGCTTGCGCCTTGGCATATCGGATCACTCGATCGATCGTTGTTGAAACCTTCCGGTTCACATACGTGCACACACACTTTTTGTTGTTTCGGATTCGACTTCCGTCTTTTCCGTCTCTCTACCAGATTCCAAATCCTATAACCCAGTACAGCTGTGCCATCCTGTGCCATCCTGTGCCATCCTGTGCCTCCGAGCCACAGCCATTGCGTGTTGAGCAGTGCTGAAAGGGGATGTTGGGAAACGGGACGATGCTTCAAGCCACAACTGTGAACGTGAACAAGAGCCATTTGCTTTGCATGCACGTGGGTCGAATTCAAGTTTCAAGCAGGTGGAAGTCGAAGGTGTTGGAGAGATCTGCAACGTGATGAGTTGACGGTTTCTGGATGATCTAGGCTGCGACCAGACTTTAATCTGGCATCATATGGCTAACCCAACATTAAGAAGCTACCAGTAGCTCCTGGCATCGCCATTAGGAGCAAGGACGCTACGAACGTAGCTCCTGGCGTTACTACTAATAACAAGGACGCTACTAAGTAGGTTTGCTAACCCAACATTAAGAACGCCAAGCCGTGGCGAAGCCGTGGCCCTCGGACTTCACTCTTCGACACCCCTTCGACACCCTTGCGTCGAGCGTGAAACTCTTGTTCGGCGCTGCTCATCGCCTGTGCTGTCCACTATATGTTGTATATACAACGGCTCCAGGTCCTGTGACAAAATCTGGGATCTTTTTCTTCCCATTCTCATGCCTTCCTCAATGATTTTCCAGCTGGGGAAGGGCTAGTGATCTACTCATGGGGTCTTGGTCCATCCCACTCCTGGTTCTTTGGTAGTCAGGCCAGGAGCTACTAGTAGCGTCCTTGCTCCTAGTAGTACGGCCAGGAGCCTCTAGAAGCTTCTTGTTCCTAGTAGCGATCCCAGGAGCCCCTAGAAGCGTCCTGGTTCTATACTCATTATATAGGAAGATGTGGACAATGGGGTTCCATCTCCATGTCTGCCACACACCTCTTCTCCTTGTTGATTAACTTGCTGAAGGGTCAAACAGCAAAGCAAAGGTATGGATCAGAAGGATTCTCATGTCCCTACACTCGCCATATCCACTGCTCCACTCATTCCACTCAACCTGAGATAGAGATCAGTAGTCTTACCAAAGGACCTCGGAGATGAGTCGACACCTTTTGAGTCGACTCAACCAGGCAACTGTCAAAGGTACCAACGACCCTAGGTGTTGCTGTTCCGTTTTTTGGAACCAACCGCACAGCGGAATGAGAGAACTTCGAGGGATTATGACTGATTGCTCAGCCACTTCTTGCATCACCTAGTGCATTCTGTGCCTTCGTTGCCTGGCAAAGCCGGTTTTATCCATGACCCAAGCACTCTCAAAGCCTCCCGCTATCACAGCCTCTCTCCTTGTAGGATCTTGTAGGCTTATCAGGCCCGAAGTCATGTGAAATCAAAGCCTTATAACTAAGCAACATCTCCAAACCTGAACTGCCACAAGCAAAGCAGGAGGTTTGGCAAACAATGGGTGGAGGCCCTTACAGGAAGAAACGGATTGAAGAGTCACCCATGCCAAGCCTGGAACCACTTTTTGGACTAACACTAAAAATATATATATAATATATATAATAATCTGTTCATGAACTTCTTAACGATCCTAGCCTCTGGATAAAGCAGGTGGGAATGCCTCTGCTGTGCGCATCTGTGCTCTCTGCTCAGCTCATTTCCTTCCTGTTACTTCCTTGACCTGTGCCGAGGAATGGGTGACGTTGCTGGAGGTGCCTCCTGTGTGATCTCATTCATTTCGCCACGAAAATCATCTTCGATTCCGTCATATCCACCCCAAATCCATCGATCCATAGGCAAATGGATGGACTTGTTCGGTCTTTCTCACACGGAAAAGTCTGAACAACTGAACAACATGATCCATGCTACGTTCGTAGCTTCTTGCTAGTAGTAATGCCAGGAGCTACCTACTAGCGTTCTTGTTACTAGTAGCGATGCCGCGATGCCCTTTGTTACTAGTAGCTTAATTGCTGTCTGCCTTTTCAGGGTGCCTTTTGCACCCAGAACCCCCAGGTCATCAGTTGTCACCAAATTGTCACGACCTTTCCCCCGACCACGCGGACGCTTTTTCGTTCAGATCCAGATTCTGTCGTTTCTCTTGTCCTTGTCTGATAGTACCGTCAAAGTTGGGTGGCCAAAGAATGGTGAGCTTCGCACATTGATCAGTTCTGAAGAGAACTGCAGATTTGGAACATGGACCCGAATGGAACAACGTTCGAAATCCATGGAAGCTTTTGAACACCGTCCATGATCGTTTAGGATCGAAGATCCCCAAAATAGAGAATTCCGTTCGACAACAACTCAAACAAACGTGATCAGAACATCAGCAGAACGCCAAACACGCGAGACACGCGAGACGCAACGAGCTGCCCTCATCCTTTCTTCGGACGCTCAAAGCTCAACGGTGTCAAGCATCGCTGGTGTCAAGCGGAAGCAGTCGGAACAGCCCAGGATCAGAGCATGAACCCAGGGTGCGAAATGAAAAAGATCTTCATCCTCAGAGAATAGATTGAATAGATGCAAAAATCAAACCAATTGCTAAAGCGTGCTACTTCACTGTGTTGTTTGGTTTTTCAGAAACTATTTTAGACGTCGCTTGGGCTGCGCCAAAGCTCGGGCACGTGATGGTGCATGGCACGTTGCATGTCGTCTTCGAACAAAGGGCATCGCTGCCGCTACGAACGGAGCGATCGGGCGAAACGAACGGGGCGCTCCTGGCATCGCTACTAACAAGAATCTACTAGAGAAATGCCGACACACACACACACTCTTTATCGTGCCAAGATTCTGCTCGCCGTTGGTACTCATCTATGGTCCAATACTCAAGGGTGTCCACCTTCCAGGTAAGCAGAAGCAGAATGTGTAATTAAACATGCAACCATGGGCCATGGGTCTTCTATTCTGAATCATGATGTTCCATCCAAATCAAACTGACATTGATACAGCTTGAACAGCCCAAGCATTGTGTCCTCATCCGCTCTTTGTTTTCCTTTCTATTTCCCTCTCCCTCTCTTCTCATTTTTTCCACACAACACGCCAAAGCTGTGAGCCAACATAGTTCAACATTGATCAACGTTTTCCCAGAGATTTGGCCTCCAAATCTTATCCAAACTCAATCCATCCCATGTTCAGTGTCCAGTCCTGTTGGGCCACTTTCTGGCATAAAACTCATGGCTTAGCTCCGTGGGGTTCTCAGCCTCAACTATGAAGTCAACCGCCTCAGCACCGCGAAACGTGCCTCAGCATCACGCTCGCCAAAGTCCACCTTCTCATCGGACATCATCGCTCGATACAGAACATTGTGATCCGCCTGACATACCTCTGCAGGATCAGCTTTCGGAGACCAAGACAGACAGGTCTTGGAGTGACAGAGTGACCGGTCACTGGGTCGAAGACCAGAGCGAGTCCCTGGTGTAACTCTGGGGTCCCAAGGATCTCTCCGAAAGAACACCGCAGCAAGTGGCCGATGTTGAGACAGGGGATTCATCAATTCCTCAACCGGAAAACCAGCTGCAACATGCTTTGCCTACTAAAGCGACTAAAGCCGGTTGACCTCTCTTCCTTTAATTGCGGGGTCCAAGCAAAAATGGCTTGGACATCGGTTTTACTCACGATTGAGTCCGACAAGCAAGTTGAGACACAATGAGACACGTCTAAGAACCTATATATAGCCTTGAACCAAGTTGGAGCAGGTGAGCCTGGTGAATATGCTCCACGTATTGGGAAACTTCATTCTTCATGGCGGGGTGAGGCGGTGTTCGTCCTCACAATGTGGCCCGAAAAGGGCGGGAAAGACTAGATGAACGTTGGAACGGTTCTGTTAATACTATGTGTGTGTGCCTTTATAACATGGCACGGTCTATCTTTTAAAGCTCAACCATGCAGTATACCGCAACGGTGGGTCGACCCGTTAGTCAATTTCCTCGGTGTCGTTGTTCTACCCCTTTTGGTCCACAGCCTGCATGTGTGGAGTTGATCCGCTCCAACCTGGCGTTCACGCAGGACACTATTTTCGGAATGATTGCTGAAATGTCAAGACTAGAACGTCATAGACATTTAGAAGTAAGCTTTATAAAGTAATAATCCTCAGGAATTATGCCTCCTGAAACATGCTTTCATACTGACTGGTTTTTCCTTCTGGCGGGCACGGGAAGGGTTATGACAGGTGTCAATCACTGCCCAGGCTCTGGACCGAATTGGCTTTGGGCTGCAATGAAGGAAGGCTACATTGAGCCTGTCAAAGCTCCCAATGTACCCAAATCCACTTGGTATTTGCAAGGCCCAGCCTATCCCTAACGAACCTCGCTTTGCGAGCCATTGCTCAAACTCTTGCCCCCAAACTAGCCTGTACTAATGCGACAGCACTCGTGGAGGTGGAGCTGAGCGTTTTGTCCAAGCTCCTGCGCTGCAAGACCAGGACTGAGGAATCAAACAAACCAGGTTGTTTGATTCATGTCAAGCCACTATATAATCTATATACAGTATATTATGTAAGTTACAATAATTATAATTGCAATTGAAACTTAACTTCCAAGAAGGTATTGCAGTTTCAGCCCATCCAGCTCGGGTTATTGGACGTCCCCCACCGAAACCGGACGCCCAGGCCGAGAGGCCTCCTGCACTGCACGCTGGGCGGCCGCCGGCAAAGCCTCGGAGAGCTCTACGGTCTCTGAGAGTCCTGGCGAGGCAATGAGAGACACATACAGTACCAATTTATGCAATAAATACATCAAGTTACAATTTGACTCAGAATCCATTTAGGTAGTATATTCCTTGTGAGTTTTGTTTACATACAACCAATCAATTCATTGGGTGCATGTTGGTGCAGGATGATTACAATCGATCTGAGATGATCAAAGATAGGTGCTGGGTTGATTGACCATCTTTAAGTCAATCTGCCAAGGGAGGCACGGTCAAAAGTCTTCTCATCCTTGTCGCTGAGGTTTTTTTGCTAGAAGATCGTGAGATCCCCGTCGTTGCTACCCCCGAACCAGCACATCCGATCGTGCAGAGTAGAATAACATACAAACAAATATCAATAGACATGTGAATTGTAAATCTGAAGATCCTACGACGCAGTGCATTTCCGTCCTACATCCCACAAACCACCCATTCGCCACTTCCATGCAGCACGCCGTTGGAAGAGAAGGCGCCCATCAGAAAGATGAGGGATCACCTGACGTTGGCTCATCGGCTCTAGAGATGCAGTAGAGACACGGACGTGGAGAATTCCCTACAAGTCGACCCGTTCATAGCGCTAAGAATAGAGTATATAATCATTTGTAAAGTTCTCTTCCTAGCTCTGAGTTGGCTCAAAGTTTTGCCCACTTTGCACAAGGTCTCGTGTGAGTGTACACTGGTTCACCAGTGGCACCCTCCGCTTTGGTCCTGCTCTCTGAAAACAAAGAAGCCCATGCTAAAGTGAGTAAAAGAGGATAACAATCCAAGTACACCACTTCGGAGGACACATCGGCAAGAATACCAAGTCTACCATACATACTGATGGTCACCGGTGTTTCCCAGATAGGATGTTGTCCAAAAACCAACGCGCCTCTGCTTCATCTTTAAACAAACAAGTTGCATACACTGTCCGATGCCACAGGCAAGTTGTTTGTGCCTCGGCAGGTTGCTCAAAAAACATTTAATGTATAGTTATATAAGACCAGTAGCAGGCATTGCAGCAAAAAACAACACATATTTGTATGCATATACATAATATTCTTGGTATTATTGCAGTCGAACAAATGGAACTGCAATGAACTTTTCATCAAGACACACAGAAATCATTGTGGGCATTGTGGGCATTAGCATCGGGGGTGTAACGGGATGCATCGTCTGATACAACGGGTCCAACCGGCGTGGTCTGATACGTCAACCCAACAACCGGCGTACGAACGAGTCAACGCACCACAGTTGGGCACAAAGAAGCAAGCGAGAAGTCAACGGACTCGTGAAGTCAATGCACTTACTGTAGATCAAACACACTGGGCACACTTGAAAAGCCAGTACCACTTGAAATCAGCTATTTGAAGCAAGAGTGTGCGCGCACTGCGTCGAGGGCAGGATCTGCCCAAAGGTTAAAAGGTGTCCACCGAGGGCACACTGCAAGACTACTCCTCTACAGAATTACAAACTGGATTTAACACATCCCTGGAATGCAGTCCCCAATGGGCACACTGTTCCAAGTCAGCTTTACACAAACTGAGTCTACTTTCACCCGGCTACCCAGTAGATCCACCCTCAAAAACCAAACATCCTGAGACTTACGACTCGGATGGTAAACTCATTCAAATGACCTCCCAAGCAGTGGCGCTGCCAATGGGCTGGCGATTCATGTCATAGATGTCCAGCTTTTCATGCCACGAGGGCTGCGAGGGTGTGCTCCCAATTTGGCCTGGAAAATCAAATCAGCCAATGCTGGCGACGACCCGTTGAGCGCTTTAGATCCAGATCCTTCCAAAGATTCATGTTGTATATCATGCCGCACATTTGTTGACACAAACTGCTGCAACATGTAAATATGCAAAAACCAATTGCAGCAGGCCAGTACTGTATGCTCTCAATGGTGGGTGCACACTCAATTCATGCTCTGTAGCTTGCCTGCATTTAAAGCACTGCGTTAGCAAGAACAAGATTGTAGCCGGTTCTGGCGAAACTGCGTAGCCTGGGTCATAAGACCCCCAGGGGCTTGGCAAGCAAGGAGTCACCTGAGCAGTACCCGGACGAGACAGAAAGTACAAGTACCTACATGGAGTCCCCGATTCGGCAAACAACAACTTAACCTTAAATGAAGGACTAACCAATGCCATCCAATGCCTATCCTTTAGAAAGACTGGACATAAGAATGGCTGATTGAAACTCATCGCGTGCCCCGGAAAAGCATTCACACTGCGAGCGTTTGGACTGTCTTGGGGAGTCCAAAAGCCTGGGTGAAGTGACGAAAAGCGGTGGCCTGAAATGCTGAGGCACATTGTAGGCAGCTTCAAGTGTCAACTGTTGCTTGAGACACTCCGAGACAATGCTAGAAGATGAAGGGTATAAAAGACCTTAGGCAAGAAAATGAACGGAGGCAAATGTTTGCCGAGGAAGCGACTACCTCCAGATTGCGGGAATCTCTGTTCACGTTGCTTTAGTTCTAAAGTCACATTGCGCTAACCGTTTGATCACCCAATGGGCGCAATCTCAGTTGCAGCTTTGGGGCTCAGTTTCCACCATCTCAACATCAAGGCCAGAACACGATCACTCTCGCCATGGCAAACCCAGTTTGCCAATCTGGGATCTGTGATTTCTTCTTTGACCGTGATCGATTCCCGAGGACGTTGGAAAGAGACACCATGGACTTTGACTTTACCGAGGTCATCATCATAGACACGTTTCAATTGGGATCACCAGTGTTGCTTTTCATAGAAGATTGTGACATGAACTATACATCTATATACCCCAAGTGAGCACAGCAAATCAACCTCCTTTTCTAGCCAATAGTTGTATCAGCTGATTGGATGCTGATATGTTGAGTTTTGTTTCAGCCAGTTAATAGCATCACTCTCAAGAGCTCCTTCTTTGATGCCCTTGCTAGTGGTAGCGATGCACCTTGCCAAAGCCATCAGGTGCTTCGGACATTTCAGCCCTTGCGAGGACGAGACAAAAGATTCGATGATGCTCAAACTTCCGATTCAAGCGATTGGATCGATTGAATGCCAAATGTAATCCTTTTCTGCAGCTGTGCTTGCCACCACTTTTTGCTTCTCCGGTTCGTCTGCAAACCTTGGCCTTGCACAAGGGCAACTGGAACCAGCCACTTCTACACGAGCAAAGTAAAACCACACCTGGCTGATTTGAACCATCCACCCAACAAATTATGGCACTTGCGAAAACCAGTCACCACAAAAGACACTCTTGCGACGACCGGACACGATCTCTTGGCACCCAGCATCGGCAGATTCTTTTGTGCTATTCTAGCCGGTCCTGCGCAGTTCAAAGTAGAAAGTAGAGCATGGTCTTCTATGGCAAGCCGCTTGGGCAAACAAGGTCGATTCGAAAGAATGACCCGCAAGCTGCACTGAATTCATTCCATCCAATCATTATTCGAGTTTCACTCCGCCAGCTACCCAAAGACATGATGAGAAACATCGAGCAACACGCCACGCGTCGGGACCTTCCCGACTTCCCGGGCGTCCGCCGTCGTGTCCTCTGTCACAGGACGGACCAAGGCACCAATCCTGACGCTTCCCCGAGATAGTCTTCCGGTGTGGACGTCCATGGGTCCACTCGGTCCAAAACGAGTGTGGTACCGAATCCACTCATAATCCTGCCAAATATAAGCCTATAAGGAATCGAATCACGTGGGATCATGGAATACACGGGGTGATGTTGCTGGTAAAAATATACGTATAGATCCGATACTAGATCCGATGTCAACATAGCTCTGATTTGGAGAATAACCTCGATGCTGGCCTTCTAGGTACTACATACCAGTTGATTGCACTTCCATAGCACCTTCATGACCGGAGCCAAAAAATGATGCTCTTTTGATTCCACCCCTTCCCTTGCCCTTGCCACTGACCGCCTCTGCTCCTTCAACACAAAATATCACAAGATGAAGGCCAGGCCGACCATGTCCCTTCTCACGCTCACGGCGCTGGGGACTCGGCTGGCCGTGATGGAGCAACATCCAACCCTGCGACCGACAACCGGCAGCGCCGACGAAAAAGCCGCCAACGCCCAAAAAGCAGTCACCACTGACTCGTTCTGCAACGGTGGAAAAACCAAAGGCCTGGACATTGATGGATCGATTTGAGATTGTCTAAGGCCCAGAATCATGGATTGGCCGCTGATTGGTTGCCTTCAAGCTTTGGATTGGCTTTGAGGTGGTCTCCAGAAACCTTTCTGCGAATCATGCAAAACATGGACTTCCAACGTGAAGCTCACTTCAAGCTCACCGACTCCTGCATCACTGCACGAAGGTGAAGAATGGCGAACAAATGGGCTGCACGAAGGTTGCTTCCCTGTTGCTGTGCCTCTTCTCCAGTCTCAGGATCTTCCATTTTACGCCACTTCTTGTCTGCCTCGAAGAAGCGTGCGCTACATCGGAATGCTAGGTACCTAGCACTTTGACACAATATGAGTTATTGGTATGTTGTTGCAATAATTCCGTAGTTAGAACCTCACATCGTTGTCTTTTTCCTTTGGATGTGGTCAAACGAGGACAGCAGGTTTGACCACAGGACAGCTTGTTCGCTTCCAAGGCCACAAGCCCTGCGTCCAAGCGACGCTCGATTCGAACAGCTCAACAAACTGGCCGCAAATGCGGGTACCAACCTCGGCTCAAAGGGAAACAACATGAGACTGAGTGGCGGACAAAACCTTTTCGTGTCCCCCAATGGCAAGTCTTATTTTGGGTTGACCGCTTTCCTTTCAATCAAGAAAGGGTATCGGTATACGGTTCGCCCCTATCTGTTTTGCAAGGTTTTGATCAATTTAGAAGTACTTAAGACGGCTCATGACAAAAGTACATGTACGGAGGTTTTGTTGGATGCTCGTGCAGACATACTATAATGGATCTGTGACAATACCTTTGTGCCACTCGCACACCCCGAAGTCTCGCTGAATGTGAGCAGCAACTACTGTCGGCATGTAGACTCTCTCATGTCATGAAATTTACTGTAAATAAGCCGCGTGCTTGAAGGTCACACACGTGCGCTTCCGTGAGTCCGAGGGTTTGAAAGGTCTTCGTCATCTGTGGCCAATGAAACATGCAAATGAATGGATGAACAGGTTGGAGACGAATGCAAAAAGCAAACCTTCCCGAACCACTCGAGTGTAGTGCATAGACTGGCATGGACCTGCATAAATTAACATAATCGGCCTTCAAAGGCGTACTGATCTCCGGCAATAAAGATGAACAGCTCCGAACGTCATCGTTGTGATCTCGCTGAATTCTTCCGATCTGTGAGTCGCGCCATATCAGCCGTCGTCGACGGCATATAACGAATGGCCACAGCTTTGTGGACCACCTCCGGCGGCTGAAGAACGACGGTGCAGTGATCTGATTGTCGACGGACAAAATTCAAAAGTGGTGTAGCTTTTGCAAAGTTCTTTGTGAGATATGCAACTGCGATTGCAATTTCCTCATGGCAAGGGTCTTGTAAACCAGCCAAGTCACATACCTTTGAGGAAGGGGAAGGATGGGGAAGGGAACCTGCAGGTTGACAAACAATTTCTCGTGCCAATGAGGGGTGTTCAATCACTCCTTGTGGCACGATTCTGTTTGTCGTAAAGTCTCAGTAGTATATAAATGCTAAGTATTAACATAAGAACATTTTATGACTTCTGTGTACCAACTACCACTTGACTTGAGCGGACTTGCGCTTAAAAAAACCTCCATATCCAATATTAATATACGTATATCAATCATTATCAATCTATATTATATGGGTATGCAATTCAACAGGGAGGGGAGATCCCCAAGCAATGGGTTTTGCTCTATTTCCCTTCTTTCAGGGGGTCGAAGTTGGAGGTCTCCCTATCTTTATACACACCCATATCCTGTGCTGCTTCCATCTTCTCAAAGCCTCATGCAACTCTCCTCCTTTTCGGCGATGCTTCCATTCTTTCGGCTGCTCAGCCGGAGGAATACCTGCACAGAAAACATGGAAAAACTTCGCCGGAAGTGGTCTTCCATGGTCCGTAGTTTCATGGGCAAAGTGTCTCAGGTGACAAACCGATTGAAGAGAACTCTGCGCACGTGGTTCGGTGGTCTCCCCCGTGGGCTCCGCTTGAGACCTTAGAGCTTCATCTCGGAGTTCCACTGGAATTGTTCTTTGGAAGAGATCCACAGAACCTTTGTCGTATGCCAAAAAGCGCAACAAGATACCAATTCCTTCCAATTCCAGAAATAGTGTTGAGATGTTTTGAGCCATTACGAGCCATTTCTGCTTGGGTAACAGGTCCTTGTTTCACATTGGTAAACGTCCCAAACATGATCAACCCGAAAAAAATAAAAGAAAAGAGCTAGCCTCACGCGTGTTTGAGCACATCTGGTTTGGGGAAACTGCAGTGGCAGCTGAGGCTCCCTGGCAAAGCAGGCTCCTCACGCTCCCTCTCTTCCTTCTCGTTCTCTTCCTTCAACCTCTCCTCATTCTCCTTCGCTTTTTGATTGGCCTCACATGGGATCACACTCTGTCGGATCAATTGACAGGAGAATAGGTGTGGTGGTGTGGACAGGCATCTCACGATGTCCGGCGATGCTCCAGAATTGGACTTACATTCCATAGAAGCTTCATTGACAAAGTAGTCAATGGATTGTGACGTAGTAACTTGAAAAGACGCAAGCAATCGACCAATTTACACACGAGCCGTGGCTTTTTAGAAGGTTAAGTGCTTACTATACACTGCTGGGTAAACAAATCACTCACTCAATCAATCAAAGCAATCAAACCAATCCAATCAATCCTATCCAATCCAATCCCATCCCATTCCATCCATCAATCCCATCAATCAAGCAACTAACCAACCAATCAACCAATCAACAGTGGCAGCTTCATGCACAACATCAACATCAGCACCCTGTAGTGCTCGTAGACATAAATTTCATGTTCTGCATCTACCACCTGCTTGGAACTTCGACGCAGGACCACCACCACGGGCCACGGCAAAGCGTGCCTCAGCGTCGGTTTCGAGGAGTTCCAGGATCCTGGCGGCAGTCGCCACATGTCTTGTATTACTAGCAGCTTGTTGTTACTAGTAGTAAGAATGCTCCTAGTAGCGATGGCAGGAGCCCCTAGTAGCGTCCTTGCTCCTAGTAGCTTCTTGTTACTAGTAATAACGTGCATCGCTACTACTAGTAGTAATGCCATGTAATTCCCTTGCTACTTGTAGCGATGCACTTGTTACTAGTAGCTTCTTGCTACCACTAGCGATGCCCTTGTCGACCGCAGTCGCCACCGATTCTTCACGCTCTGTGCTTCAAGGACTTCCACGCTGAGCGTCCGACTACGCAACCGCGACCTATCCGCAACCTACTACCTGGATGTTCACATAGGATGGAGGACTGGGAAAGCAATATGCTGTTCTTTGTGTGATGGGAAAGTTGGAACTGAGGAAGAATAGGACAACAGGACCTTTGCCCGAACGTATCAACATGGATTTTTGTGCATGAGTGTTGGTTAAAAGCAAGCAGCAAAGTCGAATCCTGTCGGCAGCGATGCGGGCATCTGCTGTCAACTCCGCCAAGGCAGCCTCCAACAAATGGCACGATGTTGATGAGTTCGGTCCCCAAACATCTTCAAACCAAGATAGACAATGTGTTTAAAACATCATAAATGCACCCCAAAAAGACTTTTCTTGCTGGTCTTTCGTCTTCCATTTACAGAGTAAATGTCAAAAGATGTTAAAAGCCTGGCAGCGCAACATCATGGGGCTTCTTGGGCATGGGGCGTCAACTGAAAGCAAATCATTGCTCTTTTCGTTTGCAAACACAAGTGGCAATTGTTCACTCTGACTTTCGAAGGACCGCCCACAGGAACCATCACGTCATATCGCATCCCAGAATCCATCCTGCAAAGCCTCGTTGTCACTCACGGTATGACCCAGCAGCGCCTCAAGAATGAATGGTAGGTCAAGTGAGTTTTATGTCTTCTGGCATCCAACCTGCCATGCCAATTAAAAGGTATCCATGGGTCATGTGGGAGGTAGGCGTAGGACGTTCATTCTCAACTGCTTTCAACATTTTACATCCAATTCGCTTGGGAGGGGGAAAGTCGACCAAGCTGGTCCTCAGAGTCCACTTGGAGAGGCAAAGGGTTGTCAGCGTGAAAGTTGGAGAAACCAACCTTCAGTGAAACCATTTCGTTTGAGCGTAACACATTGCGCACAGGACTGAAGCCAGCGTAAGACATCATGGGTTTGTAGAACGGCTAGAACGGCTAGGGACAAAACCCTTGCAATTGGCCAATTGTGGGCCTCTTGTGCAGGTTGAACCAAGAAACACACTCCTTCACACTCTCCAGATCAGACGGTGCAACAAACACGACCTTTGTAACCGTTGTGTCAGGAGGCGGACAAGTCTTTCACGCCACGTTGAAAGGTTTCTGCCTCAACCAAGGATCTTGTGCCGGAACTTGCGGCAGACCTTCAGTCATTTCGTGAGACAGCGAGGGTTGGCCATGTCAAACGGTCTTGTCCAGCCTCTTGGCACAAACTTTGTGAGTCGGCGAGGGGAGGGCACATTTTGCTTAAATGCCCCCTTGCTACTTTATTCTGCACACCAGACCAGGACAAAACAAGAATGAATCAACTGAATAAGCGAATTCTCTAGAGTACATGCATGAGAGCACGCATATGTGAGCACACTATATTAAACGAAAGCACATGTGAGCACACAACACGTATGTGAGCAAACACATGAGAGCACAGGGGTGGACACGCACACAGATGAGAACACACACACACATGAAAGAACACAAAAGAGCACACATGGGAGCACACAAATGAGGAGCACACACATGTGGGCAAACACATGATAGGAAACAATGAGAGCACACGTATTTGAGCGCACATACATAACAGTACACATTAAAAAACACCTATGAGAACACACATCAGTGTTACACCTCCTAACAAAGTGCTGCGCCTGCCACGCATGGATGCTCACAACGTGCTGAGACTGCCACAAAATCTGCACATGGACATTGACATTCACACTGCATAGCTCCGCCAATGCATTTCACAAACAAAGGCACTTCCAAAGACTCACTCGAAAAAGAGTCACATAGAATAGTATGTCCAAAGTGCGCAATTCATGTGATTTATTGTGCCGGCCACGAAATCAAAGCATGGCAAGGATCACGTCCGAAGCGCTGAAGCAAACATGGCTCCGATCCCCTGCACCTGCCACGAAAAGTCGACTTCACACCACCGAAACACGAGGATTCCCTTGCACCTGCCACCAAAAGTGACCAAGTTCAAAACATGTGCACGGCACCACAACGAGAGCGCAGTGGCAGTTGAGGCAGGATTTTCTTGCGGCAGCAAGTTTGTACACGCCTGTGCAGTTGAAATGCAGTTGGAATATCTCGAGAGGTATGAATGTACTGTCACTGGCAGCAAATAGCCCAACATGGATGGGAGCACCCTCAATCAAACCCAGCCTTAACACTCATCGTAAGAACCGTAGCATGTCCACACTGTTTGGGGAACAAAGCTGACAAAGGTTCATGCTGTAATTCGAGGTGCTTTTGCAATCTTTTTGCACAATGACTTACAGAAACTACATGAAACTACCATGCGAAGTCACTGACCTTTAAGCCTTTGCTCCCGAGGCCAACGCTCCAGTGCCACTTGGCTTTGATCGGGAGATGTCACTGCACCTGCCTGAATCAAAAGCACAATGTATTGTTTCATACGATTGAAACACAAACAAGGGCATCGCTACTAGTAACAGTGCATCGCTACTAGTAACAAGGGCTAGAAGCTCATACGCCATTGTTTCACTTCTCTTTGTCGGCAAAACCTCGAACAACGGCCATAGACATGGACGAGTTTGACGATAAATATGGAGGGCCAAAGCTTCAGCGACCAAGGAACAATCACCAGGAAGCAACAGTGATCAAGACCTTCCCGTGGGTCGAGAGATGGATCACGTCACATGGATCACCTCTCGACTTCGCAACCATTCGACCCACTCTCACGAAGTGGGTCACCTCAACATACCTCAACCAATCCGATGCGGTAGTGACCTCGATCAAGTAGACCGCGCAGTCTCGAGCATCTGACCGCCTGGCGGCCAGCTTTGTATCGATCATCATTCTATATATATCTGATGCAGAACAGTTGATGTTAAGGGATGAAGCTAGGGGAGGAGCTAGGGTGTGGACCGTGAAGCATTATCTTATGGTGAATTGCTGGCGCAACTGATTCATCCTAGTGATTCCATGGCCTTGTAAACACAAACATGGTAAATATCATCTATGGCTTGCTGGACCAGTAGGGGAAACATATTTGCATTTTTGAGCCAATGTGCTGTATTTTCACAGCTATGAACGGGTCCAATTCAATCAGTGCCCAAGTGGCACAGCCAGCTCCAAAGCGGAAGCCCCGCTGGCATCACAGGCACAGGGATTCTGGCCTCCGTGCAAACTCTTTCTCAAGTTGAGGCCAGCAAATTGCGTCATAAATACAGCCCAACGGGACAATGATGTTGGACATTCTAGTAAGCTTTACCCCTGATAGTACCAAGAAATGGCTCTACTGCTGGCGACAAGCTACAAAGGACATCCAAGGACACAAAACCTCTGCCACACGAATCGGTTTGTTGCATGTTGCTCGATGAAGCATGATGTGTATAACACTTGCAGTCACTTGCATTTGCAAACATTGGCAACATTGGTATATTCAGGACCGGAGTTGTTGGGAAATTCGTGTACTGTATGTATTATATGGCATGCTAGAGCAGGCTAGCCTTGGATACGGTTGAACTGAACAAACTAACACTTCTTGGCCTGATCCTCTCAACACTGTGCAATTCAGACCATCGTGGTGAAGAGTCCAACAAAAGCAAAAGTGAAACATGTGAACGACAAAGGTTCAAGCGACCACCAAACTCTTTCACCCTTTGAATGGCTTTCTTCACTCCTTCACCCCTAAATGCCTTCGCTCAAAAAGCGTCGCAGTTCCGGAAGCTGATCTTCTTCAGCTGCGCAACACAAGGGCTCGAGGGGCAGGGCACTCAGCTTGGCTCCCTGAGGACCGGCCCGGAACCCGTCGGAAAGGAGCCATCGGCCAAGGGCCGAAGGAAACGAGCCGCGAATTGGATCTGAATACCTTCAGCAACATCATAAGATAACCGTATAACTCATGATAACTCATGATAACTCGTAACTGTAAAGAACATCTAGATGTTTTGCGTGTTTCAGTTAGGACCCCACTTGCCTTAGGGCGTACCAATGGTCCGAAATCTGCATGATCTAGCATCACCCATCCAGCCGTGGTGCCCGTCCTCGGTGGCCGAATGCCGAGCAACGTGTCAACTTGTTGTTACTACTAGTAAGGCACTTGTTACTACTAGTAAGGCACTTGTTTCCAATAGCTTCTTGTTACTACTAGTAAGGCACTTGTTTCTAATAGCTTCTT